TCACATCTTCACCGCGAATAATTCATGATCTCGAAACATACTCTCGAGGTGGGAGGGACCTGCGTGGCGGTCCAAGCGATGCTGCACATAGTCCCGAATCCAAGTCATCAGAATCCGTGTGAGGGAAGACACTTGTATCCAGCGACAAGGCATGAGTTAGTTTCATAGAATTGCCCGAGATAATCGAAGTTTTTTTAGAAAGGTCCGTGATTTTTCGGTTTCGTTTTCTTTCGTTCTCGCTCATGAAATGAAGACGTAGGCTTATCACATACATTCATTTATAAATATCCTTTGCATTGTGTCCTTTTGCCCACAAAAAGCGCACAACAGAATGCTGCTCTTCTGTAGTAGACTTTTCAAGCACGGTCACCATTTTGAATACTGAAACCACCCTCTATACATGCGCATCTGCGCCTGCTACCTAGTCTGTCATGAAGCTCGACTCTGCTGCTACCTATTGGTGCACATAGTAAACCTGTTACATCAATTGCAGCTGTTTTACTTCCATTTGAGACTTATTTACTGACTCTACCTCTTGGAAGTTTTTGGTGCAACATTTCCTGGAAGACGGTTTGTCAGGGGTGGCTGAATTCTTTGGCCAAATAAGGGCTCTGATTTGACACGGTTTGATGTTTCTTCCGAGGCTACGTAACTAAATTCATTCATACGGACAGTTCCAGACCTGAATCATTTGAAGAATATAAGAAGCCTCTGAGCAGGCAACATGAGATGCTACAGGGTGTGTGGCAAAAAGTGAAAAATCTATTGGATATATGCAGGATCACGAATAGTTCACACGTGGAAACTTAACGAATTATGTTGCAAACTCAGATTCACTTTAAACTAAAACAGTAATATGTTGAATATATTTCTCATTTTTGTAACTAGTGGTTCTCGAAATCTCACCTTTATTTTTCGGACTCCCTGTATTAAGCACTAAATTCTAAAGGGTTAAATAGGGATACAGCACCTTTTAATTGAAGCCAGACATAGTTTTTTCCTTTCTTCCCCCCCCCCCCCNTGGCACTACAGCCGCAGTGGGCCCAGGCCTACCTCCATGAACTTCTCCGTTCACTTCGGTTTTCCTAGATCTTACACATTCGGTAGAACCCCTTGGGCGGGTGATCAGCTCGTTGCAAGGCCTCTACCTGTACACAAACACAGAAAAACGCACACACACAAACTAAACGTCCATGCCCTGAGTGGGATTCGAACCCACGATCCCGGCTTTCGAGAGAGCGAAGACAGTACATGCCTTAGACCGCTCGGCTACCGTGACCGGCAGACATTGTATTTATTGAATATTAATATTGTCGCGTTACATAGGCTGCCGAGAACAGTTCAGTTTGCATTTGACCGTAGAAGAGTAGTCAGTCTTCAGTTTGGCTTTGGCTGTAGCAGAAGCAGTAATTGTGATACTGCAATTGTGAATAATTGCACTTATAAGTGTAGAAGAGACTGGCCAATAAACACATTCGCCAAATCCGAGACCTAGGTGAATTTACTCATCGCATTACATTGGCAACACGCGACGTTAGTTTGGAGTATTGAATTCTTGTCTGTCACTGCCCTTGTCAGTTACAGCACTATCCTTGTTAAAGCCGAACCGAAGAGTTTCAATGTGTTTGTGATTTATTTTGGTAGGAGCCTGGATAGCGTAGTCGGTATAACGACTGGCTACTGGCTGAACGACCGAGAGGTCGGAGTTAGAGTCCTGGTAAGGTCAAGAATTTTCTCTTCTCCATATCGTCCAGACCGGCTCTGGGGTCCACCCAACCTCCTGCACAATGGGTATCGGGAGCTCTTTCCCGGGGGTAAGGCGGCCGAGGCATGAATCTGACCACTTACCTCCAACTAGTGCCGCGGTCAAGAAAACGTGGATCTATACATCCACTCCCCCATACGCCTTCATGGCGTAGTGCACCTTTAAGGTCTGTAGGGTCGGCTGGAGATTCCACGTATGCTGTGGCCTGAAGCAGGCTGAGACGTACCACTTCGTGAAGTAGTCGTTGCAGGAAACTAGTGCAGAAGAGCTGTGTTAACATGTGCTCAGTGGCCTAAAGGCAATTTTGTGTGCCTATTTTTCATCTGTATATTTGGTCATTGTTTTCTTTTTTTGAAACAATGTATTTGTAATGCGTGTAACATTTTTTTTCCTTGGCACTACAGCCCCAGTGGGCCTAGGCCTACCTCCATGTACTCCGTTCACTTCGGTTTTTCTAGATCTTACACATTCGGTAGGACTCCTTGGGCGAGTGATCAGCTTGTCGCAAGGCCTCTACCTGTACACAAACACAGAAAAACGCACACAAACATCCATGCCCTGAGTGGAATTCGAACCCACGATCCCGGCTTCCGAACGAGCGAAGACAGTGCATGCCTTAGACCGCTCGGCTACCGTGACCGGCAGTGTATAAGAATAATATGTAAGAATTCATTTCGTACCTCACAGGAAACAGATTCGAACCCACGAACCCGGCTTCCGAGCGAGCGAAGACAGTGCATGCCTTAGACCGCTCGGCTACCGTGACCGGCAATGCGTGTAACATAGTAATGTTATATTCTGTTCTGTAGCTATAT